TTTGAGGAACCTCCATACTGCTTTCCAAAGTGGTTGAACAAGTTTACATTCCCACCAACAATGAAGTAAGGTTCTTTTCTGTCCACATCCCCTCCAGCATCTGTTGTTGTTAGAGTTCTCCAAAAAACACATTCTTAAATCTCAGAATTAAAAAAAATTGTATGTAAGTAGTGCAAATAAAGTTTACTAGAATAGTAAAATACACACAAAAATATTACATTCGTTACATTCAAAGGTAAAAAATAAGTACGGAAAGAATTCCTACTGGATAAAAAATATTACAGTGTTTTAACAGGTAGAAGTGATATAGGTTATATGTTTTGTTTTTATAAAACTTATTTATATCTCCCTTTTCTGTTTAACTTAGTGAAGAAAAACGTTAGAAAGCAGAAATTATATGTGACACCTCTTACTTCCAGTACTACGAAGGGGAGTGGCACTTCCTAATGGGAGTCCTGGGATGACACAAACACCAAGTCCATATAGACCAATCAGAGGTCCCTGTGGTGATCCTGAGGGGGATCTGGGACACCTCACTGCTGCTGCAGCAGGTGCAGCACTTGTTGTGGTGGGCTGCATCCAACAAGGCTCCATCTGTGACCAAACCAAGCAACCCAGCCTCAGGTGCCAAAGCCAGGAGGTAAGGCAGGGCAGACCCCAAGTCCTGCCTTCCATCTGTGTGGCCTACACTGCCAAGGCCAGACCCATGCTTGCTTTGGATCCTATTGAGGGTAGGGGATGAGGCCATTGCTGCCAAACGGAGCATCCCCAGAATGGCACCCAGAGCTGTATCCATGTGGACCAGAAGGACAATGGAGGAGGCTACACAGCAAAGCCAAAGGGGCTTTGGGCCTCCAGTGCTGCAGCTGGTGCACTGCAAGTCCAGGCTCCTCTGGCACTGATGGGCATATGCAAGGATGGCTCCATACCTGAGACCACAAGGAACAGAAAATGGAGGTCTATGGGGATGCTGAAGGGGCTCCAGGGTGCTGAGCTGCCACAGCTGTCACAAGCCCGCTAGCAGAGGGGTCAGCACACGACTCTAGTCTCCAGAATGCCCTAAGCCTGAACCAAGGCTGGGCTGCCTGGCCCCAAGGGGGTGAACTGTCCACCAAGCCTTCCTTCTCCTGTGGACTGTGCAGTGTACAAACATGATGTCCTCCACCCTACACCCATGGGGGCAGGCAGTGACCCCAGAACAGTCTCACTGGGATGGCACGTGAACCCAGGACCACCACAGACCAGTACCATCACAGCTGACAGAGGAGAGGGCAGCAGTGGCTCAACTTCAGCCTCATGGCTGCCAGCTCCTGGGTGAAATTGAGCAAGTGAGACTGGGAAGGGAGGTGGGCAGGGTGGGCAGGGCTCATCTGGCAATGCTGGGGACCATGCACACACAATCCCTTCACTGCACATCCACCACAAGGGAGGGGGCCCCACCTGAGGAGGCACCACACCCACAAGCACTACAGAAGTGGAGGTTCACGTGGTAACATTGAAAGGGCTCCAGGGTACAGCCTTGCTGCTGTATTGAACAACTGGCAAAAAAAAAAAAAGGAAAAATGACCACTAAAACTTTTCATCAATGATAACCTATTATACTTTAAAAACAGTTTTACTTTCCTCTTGTCCTATATTTTTGCATGGGTCCCTCTGAATTAACCAGAAATCTCCAGGATTTCTTCATGCACAGTAATACAAATAAATATAGCTTCTATTCTTTTTTGAATTAAGGGAGGTTGCATTTAGTTCTTTCCCATGTTTGATTCATGAAAAAGAAATCCTGAAGTGTATCTGTAAAACACAAAGCTCGAGTTACCCAAAGAGAAATAATCACATGATTAGTGGGTCAGAAGATATTTCATCTTTGCATTTCTTTAGAAAACTGCATACTACTTTCTACAACGAGAATATTAACCTGTATTTTGACCAAGAGAGTACAAAATTTCCTTTTCTCCACACTCTCACAACATTATTACCTTCTGAGTTTTTTAAAGGGCAGGTTTTTACTATGAGCAGTACACCAGACTGGCCTTAGAATCAAATCCTCTTACTCCAACCCCCTAAATGCTTGGAATTACAAGCCTTTACCACAACACCTGGCTCCTTTGATTTTTTTGATAAGAGTTATAATAATTATGAAGTAGTATCATAGTAATTTTGAGTTGCATTTCTCTAATGATGTCTGTTCAGAAAGCATTAAGCCAGCATAGAAGTGGTATTACACACAACTTTGTGATTTTCAGGGCTGTTTGGAAAGCATGTCTATTCAGAACTTTTGTCCATTTTAAATCAAGTTTCTTATTTATCTCATCTTTAATGTCTCTATACAAAATCAATACTTAATTCAATGTAGTAAAAAGGAAAAAATTAAACAACGCCTAACATTTTTCAATAAAATGATATTGCTTAAATCATTTTCTGTTTATGCTTGAGACTATATAACTCAATTTGGGTAGACCTTTTACAAAACTTTATGTACTTTATTTATTTTATGTTGATTGCTCTTTCCAAACCCTGCGTGTCTAATTTTGGTTCTTTCAGTCTCATGTAGTTGATTTCAAACTGAAGAATAAATGGAAGGAAACAAACAAAAAAATAGAGTTCCTCTCATCTGATGATGCTTCTACAAGAATGAGGAAAGAGTTCATCCTGCTAAGGATCTATGATAGGATTTCAAAAAGATAGTTCATTCTTCTAGGTTTTCCCTATCTTTGTGATGTACCTTAAATTATGTAAACCAAAATATACTGTTCAGATACGATTACGTTTTATCAGTTTTGTACATTTTCATATGGACTTCACATCTGTCTACAACATTCCTTCTTTATAATGTCCCTGATATTTTTACACTATCAAAACATAAGATAACCATTTTGATTTACAGCATGAGAAGTTATCCACCTGGGTTCCTTGGAAACAGAGCATTGTCAATAGGTAACATTACTTCTGGTTGCTCACTACATGTAATGGTTTCTGTAATACATTTTATTTAGTATTTAAAAAACTGTTGGCTAAACTCAAAGCTCATTCATAGAAGTTTATGTTAAATTTTTCACAAGTTTTATTTCTCTTAATTCTTAAGATAACATTTGCTATAATGCTAATGTTATTACCATTTTAGTGTTGGGAAAATTGTAATTAAAGGCACTAAGTGAATGGTCCAAAGACACACAGTGAGGAAGGAAATGAATCAAAGTTTCCAAAAATCTTTCAGCAATTACAAAAAAGGGAGGTAAAATCTCACCATTCTCTTACACTCTAAATTCAATATTCATATTGCCCAAGAAATAATAGCATAGCAATTATTCCCCATGATGATTTTTTCTGTCACAATTTGACTTCAGCACAGACTGTGTTGGCGACATTGCGTTATCATGTACATAATTGAGCTTATAAATTGATTTTCAAAGACAGCCAAATTTCTTCTGTCCTACACTTCCATTTTTCTTTTAAAAAAGTACCAAAACTTTTAAATATCATCACTTTCTGTCTTTTAAGAATTCAAAAGAGAAATAAATTTACATTTAATTTAATAAATTCACATTTACTTTTAAAGCAAAGTGCTTTAAAAGTAGGAGATGATAATAACAGGCCCCCATGAAGTAAATTTTCTTCTACTTTTAAAATTATTCTGACAGCCTTGTGCTGGTTGGTCACACCTGTAATCTTGTCTACTTGAGATATCTACTCAGGAGGCTGAGATCTGTGGAGAACAATTGGAAGCCAATCAGGGCAAAAAAATATTTGAGATTATTTTTCAAAAATTTTAATGAACTAGCAAAGAGCCAGTAGTGGAGATGTAGCTCATATAATAGCTCACCAATCTAGAGAGGAAAGGCTTAGCAAGACCTTGAAGCCCTGAATTCAAATTCTGATCACACCAACACGTGTGCACTCATGCACAAACACACAGATTTATTCATAATACCTTCATGTCAGTGTTTTGCATTAATTTATTTGTTAACGATATTATATGGGTAAAATAAGGGAAATGAACTCTTCAATCTCAGAACATTTTTATACATTTTTTTATTTTAAAAATACTGCACAGAAGGGTTACATTTACATGAGCAAGGTAATGAGTACATTTCTTAACAAGCATTGTTACCTCCTCCTTTGTTTTTCCCCCACCATCCCTTCTCTCCCACCTCCACAAGTACACTCCACTCCTCCTCTCCCCCTCCCCCTGCCTAAATTGTACAATTCATTTTTCAACATAGTGTCTTGTGCATCTCATTTTTACCAGGGGTCAAACCGTATCCCTATTTAAGCATTTAGTTTTTTCCTTCCCCTCCCCAAATTAAAGAAACGTATATACAAGATGTAAGCGCACCAACTTCAAATATAGTGAAAAAAAGGGTTATAGCATGGTTGAGGAACATATAAAGAAACAAAAAAATCACATCATATAGTATTTGTATGTTAGAAATAATAACAAGATAGAACCACTTGTGTCCCTATCTTGGGGTTCATTTAGCTTAACATCATCTTATCTGGTCAAATGCACATAGCTTTTGACATTTTATGATAATCCGGGACATATATTAGTTATTGAAAATAAGAGAAACCATGGGACCTATGTTTCTTTGGAGTTGGCTTATTTCACTTAATAAATTTTTTTTCCAAGTCTTTCCATTTCCAAACAAATTGGGCGATATCATTCTTTCTGATGGAGGCATAGAATGCAATTGTATATATTTACCACGTTTTCTTGATCCATTCATCTACTGAGGGGCATAGGGGTTGGTTCCATATCTTAGCTATGGTAAATAATGCTGCAATAAACATAGTTGTGCTGGTAGTTTTAGTATGGTCTTGTTTGTGATCCTTTGGGTAAATGAACAAAAGTGGGGTTGCTGGGTCATAGGGGAGCTTTATGTGGAGTCTTTTGAGGAACCTCCATACTGCTTTCCAAAGTGGTTGAACACGTTTACACTCCCACCAAAAATGGAGTAGGGTTCCCTTGTGGCCACATCCCCTCCAGCATCTGTTGTTGTATAAATATGGATTGCCTCATGAATTTGCGAGTCATCCTTGTTCAGGGGCCATGCTAATCTTCTCTGTATCATTTCAATGTTAGTGAATGGGCTACCAGATTAAGCACAGAACATGTTTTTTTTGGGGGGGTCCGGTCGTGGGGCCTGTACTCTGGGCCTGGGCGCTGTCCCTCAGCTCTTCAGCTCAAGGCTAGCGATAGCTCTACCACTTGAGCCATAGCGCCATTTCCAGCTTTTTTTCTTTTTGGTTATGTGCTGCTGAGAAATTGAACCCAGGGACTCAGGCATGCAAGGCAAGCACTCTACCACTGAGCCACCTTCCCAGCCCCAGAACATTTTTTATATAGAAAGTGTAATTGATTTTCTTAAACTAGACAATTCCACAAAAAGTAAGTTCAAAAGAATTGTCATGAAATTTTAGAATCATGCATTTCTTACATAAGCACACATTTTTGATGTTGGCATCATTTGTGGAGGGGAAGGGAAAAATATTTAAATAGGAATACAAGAAGACCAATTGCAGCAATGAAAGGAACTTTACAACTTTGGCATCTCTACTATGCCATACCTGCAGATTGTAATTTGATTGCTTATTTTGAGGTAGTATCACTATGCTGGGCCTGCTTGGACTGTAGTCCTCCAAACACAAGCAAACCACACTGCACCCAGCAAATGGTTAGAGTTTCTGAAAAGTCTTTTTTTGTCTGGGCTTGCCTGGAAATGCAATACTCTAATCTCTGTTTTCTAAAAAAGTAGATAATATTACAGGATTGAGCCACTTTATCCAATAAAAGTATACAATTTCAAGATATCTTGATATTGCCTATATTTGTGCTTAACATATATAGCTAACCTTAATTTTCTCCCTCTTTTGTTTAGTACTCTGAGTTGAAAATATTGATTTTCTTGATATACATGGCTTTGTTTTGGATGGAATCCCCTCACAATCCAAAAAATCTCCCAAAAAGTTTATGTCAAGAATCACAGAAAAGAAGGCTTCAGGTTGGGAAAAACCCCACTGATCCTTAACTTATAATTGCAGTATATTTATAGTGTTAGTCAATGCTTTTGAAGAATGAGAAGAGAAGGAAGGCAGAAATGTGAAAGATGTCAGGTCTCTGTAGAATTTCTGTAGTTGTCACTTCATGTTATCTTCTTCCTTAAAACTTGATTTATTAAGACCCTCTGGGTGGATATTGGTTGGACTGATTGGTAAACTTACCCAAGAAATGAAGCTGATTTTAGAAGGTGATGATTTGGTAAATAAAGGAATGATGAGAATGAGCACAGATATTGTTACAGAATGAGGCGGCAAGGTTCAATTGCTGAACAGCAAAACAAAGCAGCTTCAAATCCAATGATCCACATTGAAACATATATAGATAGATGCATATATGTATACATATACACACATACGTGAAAAAGTAAATATCCAGTAGAATACAGAGAAACTTGGAGTGACAAGTATTAAACTATATCAAACTGGTTGCAGGAAAGGTACAGTAAAATATCAATTGTTTAGCATAGATTTTGCATAGATTTGTAAAGGATGAAAAGTTTTCCTTCATTTTATACTTTACAAATATCCTTAGTATGTTTTAAGTTTTTTTTTTTTTATATTGTAGTTGGAGCATCTATACAATGTTGAGAATCGGCATTACATAAAGTATGCAACATGAATACGACAGCCTGCATAGGAAAGTTCATTAGATTCTTATTTCCAATTAACCACCAGGAGAAATGGAGTTCCAGGTCAGATTTTATGTAGCGCACTGGCCTTGAACACAAAAGCACCATTCAGGCCGTGAGTTTAAGCTCTAGGATCTACAGAAACAAAAACACAAAATACAACTTGGAGTTAGATATTTTATAATGAAGCATTTTTATATACTTTACCTTGTTAGAAAGACGAGATTTCTGTGTTAGCTTTATAACCTACCATAATAAGTGATATTGTCCATTTAATAAGCAGAAAGGCTTACTCAGATTTATAAGTTTGAAGGTTTCAGTGTATGTTCAATTGGTTTTATGGCTTTGGTGGCCTATGACAAGACAATGTCAAGATGGGGAGTATGTCAAAAAGAAATGTTTTTGACCAAGAATGATTAAAGAGAAAAGAAGAAAGTAGATGACAGTCCATGTTCTCATAGGTTTCACTCTGAAGAACTTAATTTCCAAAAGAACTATTCAGGTATTGTCTACAGTCTGGGAGGAAATGGTAAGTCATTTTTCTTTAACACATGGGTCTTTCTGGGGCATTCTAAATTCAAATGGCAACACCTTCACCAATGATAATGACTTGTCCAGGGATTGAAGCAACTAGATATGTCTACAAATTCTAATTAGATCTCAGCAGACTAAATATCTTATGGAATTCCTATTAAAATATTTTCTTGCATACTGACTGGGTCTTCATACTACACATGTGTATGTCTGTGTATATGTGTGTATGTGTGTGTTTGAATAAACTAATATAGCATTGTAGCAGATAAAATATTAGTGTGGCCTTTTTCTTCTCATACCATGAAAACTTGCCACAATTCCCAATCAAATTCCATCCAAGATTCAACATTAATGCTGTTCCAAAAGTTCTGTATGCAAACCCATGTACATCTACTTCATTTAAGACGGCAATGGTGCATGAAAATGTTAAGTCTTCCAATTACATTGTCACCAAGGAAACAACGTACAATATTTCCTTTAAAAATATCTAGATTGGCTGGGCGCTGGTGGCTCACACCTGTAATCCTAGCTACACAGGAGGCTGAGATCTGAGGATTGCGGTTCAAAGCCAGCTGTGGCAGGAGAGACCGTGAGACTCCTATCTCCAATAAACCACCAGAAAACCAGAAGTGGTGCTGTAGCTCAAGTGGTAGAGCACTCGCCTTGAGCTGAAGAGCTGAGGGACAGTGCCCAGGCCCAGAGTTCAAGCCCCACGGCCGACAAAATATATATATATATATATAGATAGATAGATAGATTTTAGAACACTTTAGCCAGAAAATTGCAGGAGTATTCTTTATAGGATTTAATTTAAATATTTAGTCACTGAAATGGATATTCAATATCCACAACTTAGAGCCCTTTTAAAATACATAATTGCAAACCTCATCTATTACCATCTTCCGTGAAGACAGTCCTTGCTGAAAACGAACCAAATGTGGTAAACCAATTAAATTGTACGCCATTGTCAAATGCTGTTGTTTTAAATCATGGAAGTGACAGAGCAATTAATGCCAGTGAACAGCTGGTTCTAAGGAGTATGGAAAGTGATTACTTTGTACTCTAGGTGGAAAACTCCACAGATGTTTCAGATTGTGCTTCGTTCTAGGCATTTGTGAGATACATTTTGGAAAGCACAATGAATGAAAGCATGTAGTTTTATAAAGATTTGCTGGCTGACAAATCAAGGAATGAAAAGTTATTGAAATATTTCAAATGAGAAGACTGACAATAGGGTGGGTAAGATGTGATATGCAGCTTTAGATACACACTGAAGCAAACCAAAGAATAGGAATTTTTTTCCTTAACTAATGCTTTCTGGGTATATTGTGCTATACACTATAATGATGAAATGATCATTTCTTTGGAATAGTCAGAAAAAAAACATTGTCACCTGTTGAATTTCTTTTTAAAGTGAATCTTAAATAAAAAGGATGAAGAAATTTAAATATGTTAATAACATTGTCAAGTTTTACTTTAATTTTTCAGTAAAAGTTAAAACAAACTAACAGACTATTAGTCCATTAAGATTTATAAGTTTCCTGTCATATTTTATTTTCTTTTTGTTCCTCTTTTTTGGGTGGTAAGATTATTTTTTTCAGAAAGGCAACCTAGTCTTAACCATTACCCAAAAAGTTTATGCTGTCATAGAATCAGAGAGTTATATTTATTAAATTAAGACAAAAGTAGGCTCATTTTATGCCAACTGAAAATATAAACACCAAAAACATTTTTCACTAAAAAACCACTCATAAAAAACCATGAGGATTTGGGGGAAGATGGAAGACGAAAAGCTGGAGGGTAAACAAGCTCTTGCATAGAAAGCAGTTAGTGTGCCATCACAGTACAGAGAATTTGGCAAGAGAGGGAAAATCCAGGCAAGATGACAGACCTGACCACTTGCCAGTACCCACAGCTGTGGCATCAGTAGGGACAGCGCCAGTGGCTATAGCCACCATATCTACAGAGAGAGTCCACAACAAAGGCCCCAGACGAGGCCCGTGAGCATATTCTACTCAACACCAGCAAGAAATGACAAGGAGCAGATATCTTCATCCTGCAGATCACAGACCAGAGACGACCCAGGAAGCAACACTCCAGCATGAGTAGAATCCTGACATCCTCACTCCTCAGGGAGCAGAGGAGGGAAGGCCTCCCCTCCCCCACCACCAGAGATCTCCATCTATGATACTGTGCTACTCAGGGCTGAGCAGATAGCTCCAACTCAGGCTTTGGAAGAAAACAAAACAGTCATTTAGCAGGTCACAGGAAGTAGACATGACCTGCCAGGGTCAGCTCCACCCAGGGGAATGTCACCCCACCCAGCCAGTGGTAGCTCTGTCCTCAGAGGAGTGATTTCCTTCACAGGGTAAACAAAGCTAAAGGCTGCCCCTCATTAGAGTAGCCTAGACAAACAATTGAAGCTCAGTAAACATAAACCCTGAGAATGGGTTCCATGAGTATTTCAGGAGTTGCGCCTCAGGGAAAAGCTATTGTTTCCTAAAAGGCCTCAACCCTACCCAGAACCTCGACTCATCACAGCATCTTCACACTGGAGGAAACAGCCATCTCCCTCTTTTGTGATACTCAAAGCAGATCTCCCTCCCACTGAAATAGCCTGGGAGGAGGATCACAAAATCCTGAGTAAAGCAGAGCATTTTTCTGCCTGCCCAAAAAAACTAACTTAAGAAATCAATCAAGCAAAACAAAAACCAAACACCACAAGCACACAAGCATAAGCAAGCATAACCAAGAGACTGGTTATGGACACAGGGGAGATACAGTGTCATCCCATTAACCCCACCCAAAAAAAAAAAAAAATCAAAGAACTCTATTTTAACCTTTTTTTCAATTTTTATTTTTTTAAGTGTTTGATGTTAATTTT